TGGGGCCTGGACTTAGAGCCTGGATATTGTCCCTTAGCTTTTTCACTTAAGGTTGGTGTTCCACCACTTGAGCCACAGCACCATGTCTGGCTTTTTGCTGGTTAATTGGAGATCAGAGTCTCATAGACTTTCCTGCTCAGGCTTGGCTTTGAACCACAATTCCTCATATGCCTCTTAAGTGGCTAGAATTATAGGTATGAGTCACTGGTGCCTGGCTAGTCTTTTTGTTCTTTTTTATTTTTTGGTGCCAGTACTGAGGCTTGTGTTCTCCCTTGGTTATTTTCTTTCTTTTTCCTTTTTTGCTCAAGGCTGGAACTTTACTATTTGAACCATGACTCTAGTTAATCTTTCTGCAGGTTTATTGGAAATAAGAGTCTCTTGGATTTGTCTGTTCTTGTTGACTTCCCACCATGAGCCTCAGATCTCAGTCCCCTGAGTAGCAAGGACTACATGTGTGAGCCACTGGCACCCAGCTCTACCTCTACCTTCTGAGTAGCTGGGATTACAGCTGGGAACTACCATGGCTATATAGCTCTAATGTTCTATACTAAAAGTTCTGCCAGTGTGCCTACATTGGGTAGATCCCATCTTCCTGAATGGAAAGCAATAAACTTGACTCCATAAATAGCTGCACAGTCATTATGGAAGTGGATCCTTCCTTCCTTCCTTCCTTCCTTCCTTCCTTCCTTCCTTCCTTCTTTCTTTCTTTCTTTCTTTTTGTTGGTCGTGGGGCTTGAACTCTGGGCCTGGGCGCTGTCACTCAGCTCTTCAGCTCAAGGCGAGCGCTCTACCACTTGAGTTATAGCACCACTTCCAGTTTTTCTGGTGGTTTATTGGAGAAAAGAGTTTCACGGAGTTTCCTACCAGGGCTGCTTTGAACCAGGATCCTCAGATCTCAGCCTCCTGAGGTGTGAGCCTGGCACATGGCTGGAAGTGGATTCTTTCTAGGAAGCAAAATGTTAAAAAACAATTCTTTGAAATATTTTCTGAATGAAACAGGAATCTTATTCTTCAGAAAGGATCTGCACATGGCTGATATATTTAGTTAGATTTCAGAAGAACTGGGCTGGGAAGGTGGCTCAGTGGTAGAGTGCTTGTCTTGAATGCATGAGGTCCTGGGTTTGATTCCTTAGCACCACATAAAAAAGAGTTCAGAAGAACTCTCTGTGTTTGATATCTGGACTGAATTCCCTCTCTTGGAGGTGTTCTGGATTAGAACCAATTGTTTCCTCCCCCTGCCGCCTTCCAGCAGCAGCACCAGATTCCTTGTGTGTGCCAGGAGAATTGTCTTGTTCTGCTTCTCTGTTCATACACTGGGGACTTTTGGAAGCAGAGGTGTGAGTGCTTATCCCTGAATTGCCTTCCTCATCTTCCACTTGCACCGGCATTTGGTAGCTAGTATGCTCAGGAAATGTTCTTTGCGGAAACAAGAGAGGGTGGAAGTAGAGGGCAGAGATCCAAGAAAGTGAGAAGGCTGTTATGAACTGCAGACAAAAAAGTGCAGTCTAGCTGGGCACCGGTGGCTCATGCCTGTAATCCTATCTACTCAGGAGGCTGAGATCTGAGGATTGAGGTTCAAAGCCAGCATGGTCAGGAAAGTCCGTGAGACTCTTATCTCCAGTTAACCACCAGAAAACCAGAAGTGGTGCTGTGGACCAAGTGGTAGAGTGCTCACCTTGAGCTGAAGAGCTGAGGGACAATACCCAGACCCACAGTTCAAGCCCCACTACTGACAAAAAACAAAACAAAACGAAACTGCAGTCTCCTAAGGAGTTGCATGGAGTTGCTGGGACTGAAGGGCCAAGGGTCCTGACCACCCTTACACCCAAGAGCTATATCACCAGTCACTATAGGAGCCAAGGATCCCAGCACCACAGGAGCTGGAACACTAGTAGGTACTGTCTACTGCTGCCACTCACTGCTGCTAGAAGGCTTAAGGAGTTACTAAGGGCTGGAGCTGCTAGTGGTTAAAGTTCAGACCAATCAACCTCTAGCCTGAGTGCCTAGAGCCCTAAGTCTCTGGCTTATGGACAGCAGGCCACTCACTCTAGGCCATGGGGCTGTGAGCCTCTAGGCCTGTCAGTCCTGCCCCTGGATCCAGGGGATTGCAGGCCTTGGAAGAACATTTCCTAACCTCAGAATTTCTATGAGGGAGAGCAGAGGGGCCCTGTTTGTTTATAATCACTCCTGGCAGATAATTGAATGTTCCTCAGGTTATCAGAAAGTACAATCAAGATCCAGGGCCAGTGGGCGCTGGTGGCTCATGCCTATAATCCTAGCTACTCAGGAGGCTGAGATTTGAGGATAATGGTTTAAAGCCAGCCCAGGCAGGAAAGTCCATGAGACTCTTATGTCCAATTAACCACCAGAAAACAGGAAGTGGCACTGTGGCTGAAATGGTAGAGCGCTCACTTTGAGCTGAAAAGCTGAGGACAGCACCCAGGCCTAGAGTTCAAGCCCCACGACCGACAAAAAAAAAGATCCAGAGCCAGTGAATTACAGGCAATCTGACTTCAGAGGTGTTAATAAGTTTAATATATTCTATTGTTCTGAAAAAGTGAGTATTTTCTTTCTTTTTTTTTTGTTTTTGTTTTTGGTGTTGTCTATAGGGTTTGAACTCAAGGCCTGGGTGCTGTCCCTGAGCCTCTTTGTGCTCAAGGCTAACTCTACCACTTGAGCCATGACCATGACCCCACTTTTGGTTTTTGAGTTGTTCATTGGAGATAAGAGTCTCATGGGGACTTTTCCACCCAGGCTGGTTTCAAACCCTGATCCTCAACTCTCTGATCCTCAACTCTCTGATCCTCAACTCTCAGCCTCCTGTGTAGCTAAGATTACAGGCACGAGCCTGTAAGAAAGCGCCTGGCTTTTCTTTTTTAATTAGATTTATTTTTAAAATTTTCCTTAAATAGTTGTACAAAAGGTGTTCCAATTCAACATGTCAGTTGGCCCATTTTATACTTTCATGATGCTTGGCAATTTTTAGACTTCAATGAACTGAAAAATTGAATAAGAAGCTTGTAATCTTTGGGTGGCAAAGATACATGCCACATAATACCAGGAAGTTAGCAATGTGTGTGTCAGGGAATGTGAGCCAGGGAAATGCTGAGTGCATCATTTGGCAGCAGCAACAGCTGAAAGGAAGCCTGGGATGAGGGGGGATGGGGGAAAGGAAGTGGCCATCAGATGAGGTAGAAGGTTACAGGATACTGTGGCCTCCACTGTGACTTGGGAAAGCCAAGTAGTCCATTTGAAAAACAGCATGTCCTAGACTAGTTTATGACATAATAGTACTGTTTTTTATGCTTGCTGGGGTGATGGGTGTCCTGGTGTGCTGGGACAATAAGGTGTCTCAAGTATGGAGAAAGAATGTTAAAGACTAAAACTCAAACTTTAGAAATACTTACATTGCAGAGAGTGTCTGGAGCCTGTAATCCTACAGTGGAGATATGAGGATTGAAATTGGAGGTCAGCCTGGAAAAAGAAAATGGTAAAACTCCATGTCTTGCTGGGCACCAATGGTTCATGCCTGTAATCCTAGCTACTCAGGAGGCTGAGATCTGAGGATCACAGTTCAAAGCTATCCTGGGCAGGAAAGTCCATGAGACTCTTTTTTTTTTTGTCGGTCATGGGGCTTGAACTCTGGGCCTGGGCGCTGTCCCTCAGCTCTTCAGCTCAAGGCGAGCGCTCTACCACTTGAGCTACAGTGCCACTTCCGGTTTTCTGGTGGTTTATTGGAGATAGGAGTCTCACAGTCTCTCCTGCCCGGGCTGGCTTTGAACCGCGATCCTCAGATCTCAGCCTCCTGAGTAGCTAGGATTACAGGCGTGAGCCACCAGCGCCCGGCCCATGAGACTCTTATCTCCAATTAACCACCAGAAAACTAGAGCTCAAGTGGTAGAGTGCTCCCTTTGAGCTGAAGAGCTGAGGGTCAGCCCCAGGACCAAAAACAAACAAAAAACAAACCCCCTCCATGTCAACTAGTGGCTGGATGTGGTAGTGTATGCCTGTCATTCCCAGCTGCTGGAGGAAGCACAGGTAGGTGCATTGTCCAGACCCATTTGGACATAAAGCTAGACACTACTTGGAAATGTCGCTCAAGTGGTAGAGTGCCTACTAGAACTCAGCCAGGTATGTCGTAAGCACCTGGCTCTGAGTTCAATTTCTGTTATGGCCAGTATGAACCATTACCAAACTAGAATGTGATCCCATCTTCTCTTAATTCTACTGAGATGATTAGGAATCTCTTCAACATAGTAGATATTATTTTAGCTCTGGGAAGAGCAGATGTTTGCAGTTGTTTGACGATTTCTGCCGTCCTGTTCAAGCCCTCTATGCGTCAGTCCTCAGACACTGCCTCTAAGTGACCCCCCCTCTCACCTCTTTGAGAATAACGGAGACCCCTCTGTCTGGCCGGGAACTGGCGTGCCTTTTCCTGTATCACACCTTGCCCAGGGCTTGCCTGGCCTTTGGGTAATGGCAAGCGAAGCTGCGGCACATCAGTGAGTGGATGCAGGATGCGGTGTGTGGCTGAGCTGGGTGGGTGAGTGAGCTAATGTCTGGATGAGTCAGAGTGGGAGGTGGTGGGTAGGGGTGCCTGGGTGCATGGGGAAGAAAGTGAGTAAAGTGGCTCCGACCCAGGGGGTGACCCCAGGGGGTGACCGAGCGATCCAGGAGTGGGCTGAGAAGCGCGCCTCAACGCGGCGCTGGCCCCAATCAGGACAATTTCTCAGGAGTCCCGCTGGCACAGACGCAGGAGGGGAAGCCCTGGCCTGACCAAAGCCACGTGGCCGGGGCGGGGCAGGGCGGGGCCAGGGCGAACGGAGAGGGAGGGGTCTGGGAGGATGTGGGCGTGCCCGAACTGCGCCTGGGCGTCGCAGGGCATGACGAGACCAGTGTGGGCGTGGCTACCCGGACTCCGGCCCGGAGTGGGCGGGGCTATGCCGGACCCAGGCTGGCGTGGGTGGGGCTGGCCGGCGGGAGCGGGAGGAAGTCACGTGGGCGCGCGGGCTCACATGACTGGCCGTGCGATGGACCCGCTGCCCGCCGCGGCAGTCCCGGCGGCGGCTGAGGCGGAGGCTGACGAGGAGGCGGATCCCCCAGCGACAGGTACGGCGGGTGGAGGCCGGGAGGGTCCTAGGCTTGTGTCCTGGTAGGCCCTGGCCTGGCGGAGCCCTTCCTGCCCTGCGTCTTGCGCCCCAAACCCCTTCCCGCCCTGGGGAGCCGGGCGCGGCCGTAGCGGGCACCACCTGTCCGGGCCACACCTGGCCTGCGTCAAGGGACTTCGTGAAGAGGGACTGCCCCCCTCCCCGTGCCTGAGAGGTGCTGCGCCCGGGGGCTTCAGCGCTTGGGTTGGTGCGTGGCCTTGGGGACCTGCGACCTGGGACCCGGGATTTCTTCAGGGAGCTTGCGGACGAGCGGCTGGCGTTTCTTCAGAAGCTTGTGTTAATGTGTGAGCGTGCCCCAAGCCAGGATGCCGCTTGCCCCTAGGTTTAAACGTTCCTTTCCGTGGGCACACGTGCTAGTGGCTGCTGGTGACTGGGATGGTCTAGCCGACTCTGGCCAGGTGTCACCGAGGAGGTGATGGTCCAGGTGACTTCTGGAGGGATGGGAGAGAGACCGGTTCCTCCCTGAAAGGCAGGGCCAGTGGCCGTTACCTGCCAGGGCAGGGAGGACATGGTTACAGTTGGGTGGCATAGGCAGAACGTTTCTCCATGATTGAGCTTTAGTTCTATTTTTCCCCCCCTCTCGCTCTTCCTTGTGACTTTTTTTTTTTTAATGTTTTTTTCTTTTCTTTTCTTTTTTTTTTTTGCTTATGTGGTGCTGGGGAATCGAACCCAGGGCCTCATGCATGCAAGGCAAGCACTCTACCACTGAGCCACCTTCCCAGACCCATCTTCCTTGTGACTTTGTAAGGGGAGCCTGTGACAGTACCTGTTAGGTAGAACATTGGGTTGGAGCTGGGTAGGGACCCACTCCGGTCTGACTGGACTCTTTGGGGCCACTTGCAAATGGGAGCGGCTCTGACTGCACCCGGGGCTGCTACTTCTCAGCTTGTAAGAGTGGCCCAAGGAGGTGGTGGCCTAGGAATCTCTTGGTAAATACAAAGACTACTCTAAATACTGTAGACTTTCATATAGGACTCACCCATGGCTGCCATGAGTCCTGGTTGGTGTTTTAAGCCTGTAAATCCTAGCTACTCAGGAGGCTGAAAGCTGAGAATCACCAGGCTAGCAGAGGTAAGAGTCTCATGGACTTTCCTGGCGGGCGGATTTCAAGCAGTGATCCTCCAATCTCTTGTGTAGCTAGGATTACATTCGAAGAGACTCTTATCTCCAGTTAACCAGCAAAAAACTAGAAGTGGAGCTATGGTTCAAATAGTAGAGAACTATCCTTTAAAGAAACAGCTAAGGGGGGGCTGGGAAGGTGGATCAGTGGTAGAGCACTTGCCTTGCATGCATGAGGTCCTGGGTTTGATTCCTCAGTACCACATCAGCAAAAAGAAAAAAAGCCGGAAGTGGCGCTGTGGCTCAAGTGGTAGAGTGCTAGCCTTGAGCTGAAGAGTTGAGGGACAGCGCCCAGGCCCAGAGTTCAGGCCCCACGACTGGACCCATCCCCCCCCCCCCAAAAAAAAAAAAAAAAAAGAAAGAAAAGAAAAGAAAAAGAAACAGCTAAGGGGCAGTGCCCAGGTCCTGAGTTCAAGTCTCAGTCCTTCTATACATAAATAAGAAGTGGCTGCCACATAAGGCTGTGATTTATGGAGACTAGCTCTGGGCTCTTGGGCCTGCCCTTTCTTTGACTTTGCCAGGAATTCCTACAGGTAGCTGGTCTTCCTTGGGGGCAGTGGTGATTTTTACCAGGAGGGCTAATTTTCCCCCAGCCATGTGGCCTTGGACAATTTACACAGCATTCTTATAAATGCATGAGTCTAAAATGTTGGGTTTATCAGAGGTGAGCAATTCAGCCAATGGATACTAGGGGTGAGTGTGTGTTGGTGGGAACCTTGGTTGGGTGCGCTAAAGTCAGAAAATGAATTACATCAAGAGATAAGAAATGTCTGTGTCATATCTTTTTGACTTCTTGAAGGAACAATGTGGGTCATGGATATATGACTACTTTGTCTTCTTGTCTACATAGCTTGAGCTGCCTGTAGTACTCTGTATAGGCACTGTGAGGTCTGTCTTCTAAGTTCCTTTGGGATTGCTATAAAAAGTTGTGCTCATTGTTAAATGGAGTTTGTATTATGTTTGGATTAGTTGACATTTAGGCTGTGACTGTGATGGTAACTCCATAAAACTTAACTTTCAGTTACAGGACACTTGGACAAACCCCGTGTTTGAAGAAATCTAGAATGTTAAAGATCAAGTAAAAGTCCCAGCATGTTGAGTCACCTTCCTGTATCAGTTTGCATATTTGCATATTAATACTCAGAAATATGTGTTTCTGGATTATCTTGGTGGAACACATCTGTAATTCCAGCACATTTTTGTGTGTGTGGTACTGGGGCTTTAAAACTCAGGGACAAGGTGTGGTCTCTTAGCTTTTTTTTTTTTTCCTTAAGACTAGTTCTTTACCACTTGAGCCACAGCTCCACTTCTAGTTTTGGCTTAATCCCAGCACTTGGGAGGTTAAGGTAGAAGGATCGGGATTTCTAGACTAGCCTGGGCTACATAGTGAGACAGTATCTTAAACTTCCACAAAAAAAAATAAAAAAGGGCTGAATGTATGGCTCAAGTGGAAGAATGTCTGCCTAGAAAGTAGGAGACTGAGTTTGAACTACAATACCACTAACAAAAGAAAAGGAACAAAAAAAAAGAAAAAAAGAAAAAGGAGAAAATACCCTGTGTGCATGTGCTCTGCTTCTCCTTAGCATACTGAATCATCCTCCATTGCTGCAGCAGAAAATTACATTTAGTGGCTTAAACAATACAAAATTATCAGCTTATGGGGCTGGAGGTCAGTCCAAGTTTCCTCAAGCTAAAGTGGGGGTGTCAGCAGTCTTGGGAGGCTCTGGCAACGATTGTCTTCTGGCCTTCCAGCTTTTAGAGGCTTCCATTCCTGGCTCCTGTTGTCTTGGCCTAGGCTCGTTGGCCCTGCCTCTGCTTCTCTTCCTGTCTCCTCTTCCACTTTCCTTTTTCTTCAGCTCAGTCTTGTATGCTCTGCTACTTAGGCCATGCCCCCAGTCCTTTGGCTTTGGTTTGTTTTTCAGATATGGATTTGCTTTTTGCTCAGGCCAGCCTTGGACCTTAATCCTCCAGCTTCTACTTCCTGAGTATTTGGGGCCACTGGTATGTGCTATCAAATACACCTGGTTTGTTTTTTGAGAACAGTTTCAATAATTTTATTAATACCAAGTGCCAGTGGTTCATACCTGTAATTATAGCTAGTCAGGAGGTTGAGATATGAGGCTCAAGATTTGAGATGAGTGGGCTGGGAAGGTGGCTCAGTGGTAGAGCGCTTGCCTTGCATGCCTGAGGCCCTGGGTTCGATTCCTCAGCACCACATAAGCCAAAAGAAAAAAAGCCGGAAGTGGCGTTGTGACTCAAGTGGTAGAGCGCTAGCCTTGAGCTGAAGAGCTGAGGGACAGTGCCCAGGCCCAGAGTTCAGGCCCCACGACTGGACCCAAAAAGAAAAAAAAAAAAGATTTGAGATGAGCTGGAATAGACAGATCCAAGAGATTTATTTTATTTTATTTTTTTTGGGTCCGGTCGTGGGGCCTGAACTCTGGGCCTGGGCACTGTCCCTCAGCTCTTCAGCTCAAGGCTAGCGTTCTACCACTTGAGCCACAGTGCCATTTCTGGCTTTTTTCTATTTGCTTATGTGGTGCTGAGGAATAGAACCCAGGGCCTTGAGCATGCAAGGCAAGCGCTCTACCACTGAGCCACCTTCCCAGCCCCAGATCCAAGAGATTTATATCTCTAGTTAACTAATAAAAGGTTGGTTGATATCTCTAGTTAACTAATAAAAAGTTGGAAGCTACCAGGTGCCTGTGGCTCATGCCTGTAATCCTAGCTACTCAGAAGGCTGAGATCTGAAGATCACGATTTGAAGTCAGCCTGGACAGACAAGTCCCCAAGAGACTCTTATCTCCAATAAACCACTCAAAAACCAGAAGTGGCACTGTGGCTCAAGTGGTAGAGTACTACCCTTGAGCACAAAGAGGCTCAGGGACAGCATCCAGGTCCTGAGTTCAAGCCCTACAACTGACAGAAGTAACACAAATGGCAGAGTACCAGCCTTGAGTGAAATAGCTAAGAGACATTGCCCAGGCTCTGAATTCAAGCCCCCAGGACTGGTACCCCAAAAAGAAAGAAAGAAATGAGTTCTTTATAATATTCTTTTTCAGTATTGGGAGTGAACTCAGGGCCTCACACCTGGTGGCAGGAGCTTTGTCATTTCAGCCATTCCCTATCCCTTTAATACCATTAAAAAATTTTTCCTTCTGATGTAGAAAAATTAAGATAGAATATTTCCTCTTCTCTTCTCTTCTCATTTTTGCCAGTCCCGTGGCTTGAATTCTGGGCCTGTGTGCTGTCCCTGAGCTTCTTTTTGCTCAAGACTAGGGCTTTATCCCTTGAGTCACAGCTCTACTTCTGGCTTTTTCTGTGTAGTTTATCGGAGATAATAGTCTCATAGACCCTCTTGCCTGGGCTGGCTTTGAATCATGATCCTCAGATCTCAGCCTCTTGAGTAGCTGATATTACAGATGTAAGCCACTAGCGCCCAGCTCACTTTTATGTTAATTTGCATTTTCTTGATTAGGAATGAGTTATGTTTTCTTTTTTTTTTTTTTTTTTTTGGAATTATTTGCTGAAAGTTTAATTTTTTTTTTTATTGTGGAAATACTGTACAGAGAGGTTACAATTACATGGGCAAGATAATGAGTACATTTGTTATCAAGCATTGTAGCCTCCTCTTTTGTTTCCCCTTCCCATCCCATCCTCCTCCTGCCCCCCCACTGAGTTATGTTTTCTTGTGTTATTTCCTTAATGGCCTCTCTGACTGGATGTGTTCACATCTTTTGCTCATTTCTTATGAGATTGTCTTTTTTTTCTTTTGATTTGTAACAGTTTTATATTTTGGATGCTAACTCCTTACAGATTTCATAT